GGACAGCAAAAAACCGGGTCAAAAACGGAGCATCGAGCAGCCAACGGGAAATGTGCAGTTCTGCCAATGGATCTTTCCACGACTCTTGCTGAGGGTAATGCAATGTAAGCCCGAATCAAGAGTCGCCACGGCTAGGTTTAAAGTAGAATGATTCATGCCAATAATTTCTAAGGATAAAGATATGTATTTGCTTAAAGCGTATCTGTACAGCTTCAATATCCATGACAGTCAAGGACCTCATAGACAAACAATTTTTCTATATTGGCTTCATTTGTGGTCGGAAGTTATGTAACTGGAACACCAACAACGTCCTTGAACATACATATGTGCAAGAAATCGTATGCTAAAACAACGATATACAAGTGTCATAGCTTTTTGGAAGAGTTAACCTCTAATATACAATGCCCAATATACCTCTAATGACAAAATGTTACGGAGTTATCAGCTGCAAAATTTTCATATCATTGCTTCTGCGACACTAATTTCATACAAATGAGGGAGGGGGGCGTTACCTACCGCTGAGGTTTCTGCCCTGAAGCGCTTAGAATCCGTCACAAAACTGTCACGGTTTTCGCCACTCCTCTTCATGATGTCTTCTGAATCTGTGGATAGTCCTTTTTGCGATGGAATAAAACGGGGACAAATTAGAAGTCTTGATTTCGCACAGTTTCACTTTCAGGTCCCAGTTTCGCACTGGGGGCGGCCATTTGTCGCGCAATGCGTGATGGGACGAGGCCGACGATCACACAAGTATCAAGTTACAACCACCTGTTAAACACTGCTCGTCCATTCTTCATAATACTAACGAGGACAATTGCCTAAGAAAGTTGTAAAAAATATCCCCAAAATGATCTTACACCACTGTAGGCGAACGAACCAGGTACCCACGTCGACGTCGACCTGCAGCCAGCCAGGGCACTCGGTTTTAGGTAACGTTACGTCGCCGTCTGCGTCCAACACCAGGTTTTGCACGTAGACCAACTGATCTATATAGTATGGTTAAATGGCAATAGCCCTGGAATCTAGTCTTGTTAGTGGGATATAGCATGCCCCCAACATTGCCGTTGCGTTATTGTCGTGTCCTGATGGCCGCGCAGCATGATGGAGGCGACTGCCATGGAGACTGGTATGGTTGACAGTGACGGCAAAGGTAGAAGGGGCCGTCCTGCTCTTCAATTAAAAACACCGAGTGGTCGTGGCATGAGAGATGAGTCACTGCGGACATGGAGACGGAGTTGTAACGTCATCTGAATGTGATGGCTGAGCGGCCAGAAAACGGTATATAACGGTAAACGGTACATAAAGTCACTCATAAAGTCATTCACACATAACTAGGCAAAGGGAACAAATACGTCCAAGAATGAAAATGACATAACTTTTAGCCTTGCAACATTGCATGTAATGCCTGTGTAACGCAGGTCAAAGGTATTTCTATTAGTCATTAGCCATAAAAGCAAGCCGGACCTGACCTTGGGCATTAGGGCACTCTCGCCGAGTGATCCCAGGTCCACTTCTCCTTTCACGTGAAATGTTTTATACTCGAGGTTTTTTTTATGTACCAGAAATTCAATGAGAAATTTTAACTAATCTGGAGTAATTATTCTTCTGTATTGTAGTGCTAGCCTCTACCAGGCTTCGGTGGCGTCTGGAAAGAGTAGAAATTGGCCAAATGTTGTAGAGATAGCATGCTAGGGGAGTTGGCCCGTACAGCCACGTGGTACAGCTCGGCCGGGTGCGGCAAACTGTACTCTCCGGTGGACGAACTCCACTGGCATGTTATCTCTCTATTTAGCCTATTTCTTCTCCTTCCAGCAGTCTCCCGAAGCCTGGTAGAGGCTAATGCAGTCCCATCGCGAGGGACTAGCACAGAACAGCGAGTCTATTTCTGTTCCGAAAAATTGAAAACCAAGATGCTAGATTGGTGTGGCCCTTGGCACAGATGCAATACCCGCGCCGGGCGAGGCCTACTGATACACATGTCTGACGTTAAACGTGACCAAGACGTAGACAGTAAAACCCCGAGAATGATCAAACCTAACGTATCTATTTTTGAACACGTGACCCCCAGCCCAGGTCGGACTTTGTCAACACCTGGGGTGATATAGCCCAGTCGTTTCGTAACACTGCCGTGCATGTGGACGGGCGTTCTGATTTGACAAGACTGTCCATCTCTGAGCTCATGTCCTCGGGCGAGACCTTCTCTGCTTTGGATCCATAGAATCCCGGAATGGCAATGGCTTGGTGGAAGACGCTCGTGTTCTGTTTGTTGTGCTGCGCTTTTCCAGGGCAGCCGACGGTGTCTGTGAATGTCAAGGACGGGGTGGAATACTGCTTCATGGAGAACCTGCAAGAGTTTCAGAAAGTTCCTATGAGCTACACGTCCTCCCAGCCTGTCCCGCCCTGGCTCAGCGGTACTCTGGTAGGTACATGAACACAGATCTGACACTCTTTTGCAGTTTATCTTCGTGAACAATTGGCCCACTTTCTTGCTTGACTTGGAATAGAGCCAGTCCGCCCCACTGAGACCCACTGGTAATATGATAAGCATTCTATTAATACAGTCTACCTGTCTAATCTAATAATAGATTTTCTTATATCCATGCACCGTTGTGAGTTCACGGTGGTTAAAAGGGCTTCTTTACCCCAGCCCTCTTCTTTGTGGACAGTCGATGCTTTCACAGGTTAACTTCTAGTCTAAAAATAGATCCTTTGTTTCTAGCGTACGCCCCTGGATTCCTTACTGCGCCAAAAATAGTCTCCAACTTATACTGGCAGTGAAATGTGTTCCCCGACAACTCTTTAACTAAGGGTAGTAAACTCTGTTGTTTTTCACTAGTGAAACTGTCAGTGGTGACACCGGTAAATTCCAGGAACATTAAGACGAATCACTTCACACGGCTTCTTTCAGCCTTGTTTATGAACCACATACATTCCAAGTGCCACGATAAAACCGCAATACCAGAGCTACCAGCGTACGGCAAACAAACAGGACAACGTCCCAAAGTCCGTATTGGGCAAACGGATTGTTGCACGACTTCTTCAGAACCAAAGATTTTACTCAACCCATTTCTGTGAAATGTGGAAACATTTTAAACGCTAGGCACCGCGTAGTAGAAGAGAGTTTTTCTCTTAAAATCACAAAGAACATTGTGCGGTGTTTCTTTAACCTATGTCTAGTCTGTTATTTCAACCGTTTTTACCCCGTACCCCATTTAACAACTTGCATACAGCAAGCACCAAGCGCCATAACTGGGGTCAAGCGGAAAGACGGCTGGCCATCGTCCTGAAGCACGATCTTGCAAACTAACGGGACAGGATAGTTGACGAAGACAACTAAAAGTTGTGAATTTACTGTTTATCTTCAAGAGCATTACATTGAATCAATTCAAGCTGTTTCCAGCCTGTTCTTTCAATCGTTTCTCCAACGTACACAACGTTACATAATTTTTGAAACCTTCACTAAATCATACATACAGAGGACGACAGTCTGGTTCAAAGCCACGCACCCAAATTGCCGTGCTGAGAATAATAGGCAATGCCCTTGACCTCGGCCTTTCCAACGAAGTCATCGTCCTTAAGTCCGTTTATGCAAATACCTGTGTACAAGGTGGGCAGCTTAACGGCAGTAACTGATTTATTATTATGTAAGCTTGCATCAGGAGTCAGCTAACTTCGCGGAAACTGGCGTATGCCACAAATTACGAACCAAGCATTTCCTCTCCAGGGGCTATAATAAAGTGTGGAATTAGTTTCTATGTGTTCATGTGTGCCATTGTACACTGTAAAATCCCACATACAACCTAGCTGCAGTACGAATCAGTTATTGTTGCATTGAAGGTGACAGACGGTCACCGAAACGTCCAGTGTAAAACCTTAATGCTTGCTGAATAATAAATCTTATGATGAACGTTTCTACTCCGTTTCCAGCGTTAAACCCTGTTACTCGCCCCATGGCGATAATTCTTACCATGTTTTCACATAACTGCCGCCCAGCGCTCGTTTGAACCCGACATGTGTTCTCGCGTCACGTGGAACCTTGTAGCCGGTCCCGTTGACCGGTCATCGGCCTTAAGTCCGTTCTGTGCACAAAGATGCCTGCAGATGGGGTGTGCAGCTTTAACGTCGGCTTTTCTCGGGTCAACCAAGATTAGGGTAAACTTAAATGATAGTCACCTAATTTATCGGAAACTGGGCAATTGCAAATTAAAAAATGTTTAAAAAATGTTTATTAAGTGAACGCGTTTCTGAGTAACAACAAGCGATTTCTGCCAAGTGTAGAAATACTTCCAAAACGTCACAAGAGGATGGAAAATGTGAAGACTGAAACATATCAAACCCGGTTCACCACGCCTAGTGCTGGCCCCAGGCCACGCGCCAAAATAACTACCTGACCTGGTGGTAAAACCGGGGTCATTGACCTTTGAGTTTTAAGAGTAAAAGTCAGTGCGGATCAAACAATGGTGGCACTGGTCAAAAATCAACATGGCTCACATTTTACACAGTTACAGTCCTTGACCTATAGCCACAACCTCTCAAAATACATGTGGCTCACTTTCTGCTCAACACCGATTGTAGCCATGGTAACGGGCCAAACAAATTTTAGGGCCATTTTCCGGAAACATGAGAATCAACATAGTTTATTTTACATACAAACGCCTGAATATCAAGTAGAGTTGACCCTTATTTCGTTGCTGTGTACTTGCGCCCTATAAAGGTACTATTTTCTCGGCGTGCGACATTCCGACCCGTGACCCATGTTGAACGTCGTAAATTAGCGTTATCCCCAAAACAAATGCCAGTCGTACCAAGAAGTCCTGCACGGGAGGCTATAAATAAATAGGTTAAATGTGAGGTATCAATGTCCCTGGGAACCGTGTCAACGTGCTAAAGTCCCTTCATAGTCCCTGTAGTTACGCCCAGTATCCGCTTGGGTATCCTGCATATAGGAAAAGGGCACAGGATTATTACACCGGGAGGAACAACTACGGAGACCCCGTACCCCCGTGTCATATCTAGAGCATTTTTTTGGATTGTCTCATTGGTTATGGAGATCTAGAAGCGAAACGAAGTGTTTAACAAATGCATTCTGCATTACCTTCATATCAAACTCCACGCCTATCAGTAGTCACTAGCTGCCATTATGATGATGATGATGAGTGATGATGACTGGTTTATTTCACATAAAACATGCACAGATTAAAAAGTCAATGGCAGCCTAAATGGCTGAATTGTCGGCCTCTTACAATTTAAAATCTTGAAGAAACATGTGCCATAAATTCAGACTTACACTACGCAGACGATATGCAATATCGATGGTACAATAAAACTGTTCGCCGGCCCTTAATAACATCGATCCGGTATATTACAAATTAAACTCCGAAAAATTACATATCGTTCAACAGCTTGGTCATATAGTAGATCGAGCTCTTTGTAAATCGAACAGTTCTGGGTCTGAGAGTCTGTAGCTGTTTGCTGGACCTGGTCGTCCTGCCGGATACGGCCTCATGGCATGGTGGCAACCAATTATTGTATTATTCTATGAAGACCAAAACCAAGCTTAATATCAGCTGGTAGGAAATGAAGAAATACTCCACAAATCCCCCTGACCCAGTCGCCGTGTGTTCCAGGTGAGGAACGCGCCTTCCCAGTTCACCGTGGGCGGCCGGAGCGTCAGCAATTACTTCGACGGCTTCGCCAAACTCCACAGCCTCGACATCGACCAGCACTCCGTCAACTTTTCCGCCAGTTTCCTCAAAACAGGCGTCTACAGCAGGTAAGGTGTCTGGTGTTTCACATGACGTTTCAAACTTTCCCATGTGTAGTTCCCGAGTTATAGATGATACTTTTTAATTAGAAAATCACGGTTCTATGCATAACCACTACTAAGGAGGTTTTAATCTGGTTGACCCTGTTTCCGTATGGATATATATAATGTGATTAATCCTGGAAGTTGCCAGGTAAATTTCACTTGCCAACAGAAGCTCTGATTCTTCAAGGTTGAACCAACAAGCATGGCGACTGTGTGGTCCGGTGCAAAGACTCCAGCAGGTTACTCGGAAAGTTTTCTTAACCCTTCCCCCTCTCTTCCAGGTCAATCGAAGCCAATGACATCCACCCTGCGCCTACGTTCATGGGAGTAGACCCACCGTTCAGCCTCCTGGAGCGGTTCCGAGCACTGTCGAACCCGGGAGACAACACCATCGTCAACGTCTGGAATTTCGGAGGTGATTTCGCCGCCCTCACAGATGCATGGATTTTTACTCAGTTTAATCTAGACACATTGGGCACGATCGGTGTCTCGGTACCCGACCCCACACTCGGAAACGGAGGATGCCAGACCAGAGATATTTACATGTCCTGCGCGCATCCCGTGGTAGAACCAGGGACGGGACACGCCATCAATTTTGTAGGGAAGCTCTCATTTTTCCCCGGACAGCGCGACACTGTAAGCGTCATCAGAATAAAAGACTTGCACACGTTCGAGATACTGGCTAGCTTGGATGTCGACAAAATGTGGTACATGCACAGTTTTGGTCTGACGGAAAACTTCGCAATCTTCTTCGCGCAGCCTTTCTACTACGATTATTTCCGATTTCTCACCACAGTTGAGCTGCGACACTCTCTGTATTATGTCCCAGACGACGGCATGAAGATATACGTCGTCAACCTCAAAACGGGTAACGTCACTACGCTGCACACAGACGCCTCGCTCTACACGCACCACGTCAACGCGTACGAGACAGGCGACGGGCGCATCGTCACCGACATCGTCATGCTTTCAAATAGCAAAGCTTTCACGGAAGGTTTGGCTCGGTCTAGATTGACCAACATTACCTCCATCAGGGAGATTCAGTCACCAACAAGGATCTGTCGCTACATCCTCGACTTGAAGACGGGAAACGTGGAAGCCACACCTTTCGTGTCCCAAATTCCTACTGAAGACTTTCTGAACACGTTGGATCTCCCTGTCATCAACGAGAAGTACCGTACAAGGCAGTACTGCTACGTGTACGGCAGCGTCACGAGTTTCCACAGCAACAACCCGGTCCAGGGTGCTGTCCCCTTGGTCAAGAAAAACGTCTGTCTCCCACATAACGACACCCTCTGGAGCCGCCCCAACCACTACGCCAGCGAGCCGAGCTTCGTTCCCGACCCGTGCGGCACGGAGGAGGACGACGGCGTCATTCTGTCCTCCGTGCTGGACGGAGACAGAGGCCTGAACTACCTGCTGATTCTCGACGCGCGAACCATGGAGGTGATGAACACGGCCTACATGCCCACCTGGATCCCGTACAACTTTCACGGACAGTTCTTCCCCAGATCCTTCCCTGCTCCTCCGGGCACATCTCCCCACTACGAGCTGTGAGTGAGATGTCTGCAAACAAACTGATCAAATAGCACATTTAACGTTAATAGCTGTTATATTTCAAAACGACGTGCGGCGGAGATTGAAATATGCAACTTTTCAAAACCAACTGTTGTTGTTCAACGAATGTTCCAAAATAGCTAAAGATCACATCGCTTTTCCTCATAGTAAATGTGTGAAATGTGGCCGCAGAATTTCGGGGTGGGGTGTATTTTCCAGTCTTCACAATTGCAATGGTCCGTCACTGTATGAAACATGACAATTATCTAATGCGAGGAACACAGACCGGGAAGGACAACCGTGTCATGTTAATTTGTCGCCAGTTTTGTACATATTCTACAGACGTTATGCATTTTTCCCCATCAAATTCACTACGCATTTAAAAAATTGTTTCCTTCATAACATTTAAAAATCCTTTGTATTTTTGTCTGCTCATTCATAATCAGAATCTTGAAACCGTTAGCATTACTTCCTATTATCATTAGACCTAATTTATTAAAACATATTTTTATTTATCATTACCTTGTGCTAGTATTATCGCTAATTTATGAAAACGTATCACTTGTTAACCATTATTTTATGTTAACTTTAGGCTTATTAAAACATTTTTTGCATAGGGTACTTCCATTTTGGAGTATAAATGTGAAAATATAATAATATCGTATGATACTATGATTATAAACATTGTCATTGTTTTTCAAATGAAACCATTAACAATGGTGAACCAGGAACAATGTATTTAAGAGTGTTATTCCATAGTCATTTTCTATCTAATAATGTAACATAAAAATGACACCAACAAATGTGTTGTAGAGCTGTTGTGTGTGTTTTAATTTTTCTTCCATAGATGAATGAACAGAAAATGGAAACCAGTGACTTCTGCAAGCTTGATTTGAACCCGCTGGAATATATGACTAAACCTCACTGAAATGAGATGAATCCAAGTTGCTTCCAATGTGTACTTTGCATCTATCTGTGGTTAAAGCTCAAGTAAAAAAAAAACCTTTGAGGCCTGTATGTTGATACTAGCGGTGCTAATTCCATGTTTAGACATGTTTGCACTTGAGTCATGGTATTTTCCACTTGAAAAATTCATCCACAGCATGGCAATGTGATAGCATTCCTACAACCAATGACATGCTAACACTACTAGTTGATCACTTTTAGAATGGCAGATATTTTGTATTTATGATTTTTGTGACACCATTCCAAATATGATCAACTTTTCAAAGATTCAAAGAAGTCATTGTTTCTAGGAAACAGCCTGACCAACTTCAATGGAACTGCCATGAGCGGACGAAATTGTGGAAACTTAAATGCCTCAGCTTCACCCAGTCTATGCATGGGAGAGCTACAAAAGCTTTTTGAAAGTCAGCGTTGTCACTGTAACCTTACACAGTCCTTACCCAAGTAATCTATCATTTGGGAGACTAGTATACCAGCCAGGGTGTGAAGCAAAAATACAAAATCGTAATGGTGAAACTTCTGTCTTCATCTTGTAGCTAGTGTATAAGATGTATATCTCCGCTCTGCGCGATGTCCCTGTATGTAGGGAATTTGCAGAGTAGTAGCTAGCTTCTGTGACAGGATTGGGGCTAAGGTCAACAAGGTTCAGAAACACTGCTACATGTAGTAGCTTCCATTTTTCTGCAGAATTGTAAAGGAACTGGTTCAAGAGTAGTTTCCAAGTATATACATGAACATTATGCCAAAATGTGAATGAAGCTGTAAGAAACAAAAATGCTTTCACAACTAATGCAAATGCAAGGGCACATAGACATTATCTTACAATGTAGTAAATGTACTCTCCTAAGCTATCATGACAATCCATAGTGATGCTCCTTTAACACTGACTGGTGTAGCAAACATAAAGCATTATCATCCCCGAGGGCACCCAACAGTAGGTGATTTAACAAATTAGCAACAGCAGTACACATGCAATGTGACAGGGGTCCTCATATCCATCACTAACTAATACTTGCACAGGAAAAACGAAGACGCAACATAATAGGGGCATGCATGTGTGGAATTTTGAAGTGACTATGTTCAACACCATAACAGATAAAAGGAGAAAACATTACATCTTTAAATGCTGAAAAATATTTTTCATGTTGTGTTCCCATTACTAGCAAATCTTACAATGAATATGCTAAGGATAATGTTACAGGTACAAACTTGCTTCTTTTTACAATGACCAAGTCAATGCTGTACAGGAACAATTTCTCAACATCATGCAGGATCCCTCCCATTCAAACATGCACAGACCCCATATAAAAACCATTGGGAGCTCACATAAAACATACAAAGTCCATATAAAAATCTACAAAAATATGTAGATGAAAATATGTTTATGAAAATCAGGCACCAAGAATATCATAGTTATTGCTGTAAACTTGTATCATACAGAGTTTGTCATAACAAGTATAAGTCAACAAATATCAAGTAGTATATAATAATTTTGCTTTCATCAGAGGTCAATCAGTTATCTATCCTGTCCTGTAACATCACAAAATGCCACAAAGTACAAAGCCCCTGAAATAGCACCAATTGTGAGGAAGTGAACACTGAACAGCAAAAAAGCATACTTTGGATCTAAAACATCAATGTAAAGTGTGCATGTTTTTATTGCTACCGAGGTGCAGTGAAGACTAAAACTGTTTTTTCCTTGCCAGCAAGGTTTTACACCAGACGTGGACATCAGTACACCAGGTAATACCAACCAGCAGCAGAATTCTAAACTAGAGATTAAAACATACATACTTTATAGAATTTGTTTCTTGTTACATCACAGCACTATATGTGTGCAACTACCACTGTGTCTGAAACCACAATTGTTGCACCATCTGAGTACATGTATTACCTGCTGACACACTGGTTAGATTACCCGACCCTCTCTGAGAATCAAACCGTATGTTACATGGCTCTCTGCAACGAACTGGAGAATGTTGCTGCATCATCATACACAAAACTCACTAACATCATACTAATGGATGCTCCATACTAGTGGATGCTCCACCAAAATATGAAGAATATGTTGGTGTCCAACTTTGTGAAGTTCACTGCAACATGCTCAAAACTTCGTGCAAGATCCCTGCATCAGTCTGTCAGCTCTTGCTGAACATAGCAATCAGTCAGTGTCTGTAATGACTTTGTTATGGCACTGGGGTTTATCAACTTAAAAGGCGTCAGGCTGGAACATGCTGATGACATGTTTAACCCATCCGTTCATCTCGACCAGTCCGAATGCCTTTTCTGTGATAGGTGCAGGGTCTGCAGGTGCAGAAGCAGCCTGCGGCTGATCTGTAGGTGCAACACTCTGCAGATATTGCTTTGTCCTCTCCTTTATAGAATTTGTGGATACTGCATCTGTGTTGAGTGATGAGGAAGAGAGAGATCGCCACAGTGGCTGTCTGGACTCATATGACCTCCGTCTTCCTGGGTCTTTTTTGCTCTCGCTTGGGGAGCTGATGACTTTTTCTTTCCCATCCTTATCCTTCTCAATGATGACGACAGTGCGAGGTTCAGCTGAAAGGCCGTACTTCTCCAGTTTTCCCTGCAAGGCTTGAGTGATGTCCTCAGAGTATGATATTTTTCGTGTCCGGCTGGATGTCAGGATGGGAGAACTGGTCACCGAGTTTGGTGCAGAGCGGGATATATCTAGCCCAGCTATCGACATTTTGTTTCCCTGGCGCAGGCTTCTCCTTTCAATGAAACTCAGTGGTCTCTTACTTAACCTGACCACAGCTTCTGACGTAGACGACCTTTCCTCTCGGGTACTTGTGCTTCTCCTTGGTCTCCTGTGGGTTGTTTCAGCCTTTTTTGGGGTAGTCTTATGGTTTATTACAATTGTAGGAATATCTTTATTATTGTTGTTCATGAAGAGAGAGTTCCGATGCTCCCCAGGAGCTTCTGGCTTACTCTCCTCAGAGTTTTCACCTTCCTCAGTCTTGCTGCTGTTTTCTGTGGTTTGGGCAGTAGTTTTCACCTCAGGCTGATCTTCTGTGATTTTCAGGATGGTTTCTGTTGGCTCACTTGTGGATGACGTAGCACTGCGTACAGGATCCCCCACAGACAGCTCGCTCAGCGGGCGACTGCTGGCCGGGGAGGTGAAGGCAGAGGACAGCAGGCTGTCACAGGAGTTCAGACTGGCTGAGGAGAACCTGTTCAAGCCTGACAAGTAGGAAATATCCCCATCTGACTGAGTAACACTCCTGCTTCTCTTCAAGACCTTTGATGGGTCTGAATGTTGTGCGATGCGGGCTCCAACAGCAGCGGACCCAACGAAGGAGTGACTCCTGACCTTCCCGACAGCAGGGCGCAGAGCGTCACCCTCGGAATAGTTGCGTTTCTTCAATAAAGTCTGGGCTGCTGCTGCCCGTTTCTTTACCCTCATGCTGTACTCTCGGGCCAGTCGATACACACGGTTTTTCCCGTGTTTGCCTGCCATGCCACTTCCAGGATGCTCCTCAATTACGTCTTCTTGAAGAAAGACAGAGCTTGAAGAGGCTCTTCTTGCAGAGCCAAAGGAGCCAATAGAACTTGAAGAGTCGCTTCTTTCCCTCGCCCTTGCTAGAGGTGACCGACGGACAAAGTTGTGTAGGGCAGATCTGATGCCCCTTGCTGCCGGGCTCACATTGCTCTCTGTCTTGGCTAGCTTTGGTGGTGCTTCTATTATTTTCACAGGGGTAGCTGGCTTGGATGCTTTGCAGTCATCTATACTCTTATCTATGTAGGCTTCGAGGTCACTCCATATGTCCTCTGTATCAACAGCCTCTGACGACAAGCGCTCTTGGTCCTGTTCCAGATCTGACAGTTTCCTCTCCACTTCTGCAGACATAGAGTCTATTGATGGGCTGCGTTGCGGAGATGCTGCAAAGTTTCCTGAGATATTGCACAGGCTGACAGATTTGCTGGGACTGGAGGGCTGGCTGCTGCTGCTGCTACTCGCACTGCTGTGGAGCATCTCAAATGCCTCTTCCAGGCTATACTTCCGGTTGGGCTTAGCCGGAAAATTCAGCATTCCGTTGGAATTTGGTCTTTGGAATTGATGGAAGAGTGTAAGATTTGAAGGACGTGGCTGCGTGTTCAGGTTCTGCACACTACTGAACATGCCTGGTCTACGAACCCAGATATCCAAGGACTCGTCATCTTTGTCATTAAACTTGGGCCGTACCATGTCAGGACGATAGGAAGGGGAGATGTGGTCATAGTCGCCCTCCTCATCTGAATCTGTTTGAAGAGCATCTTCTCCACTGGCTTCATCTCCTCTCTCTAACTCAGCAACACTCTTCTTAGTCCTTGCAACATTACTGTCTACACCACTTGGCTTGTTTTTCTGGACTGCAACCGGGCTACCTGACAGAACACCATTTTGCTTTTTGCTTATTGTCTCTTCTGTAATTGCTTCGTGCCCGTTACACACAGTACTGTTTTCTTCATTATGTGTCTGTTCTGACGAGTCCACGTTGTTACTTGCACCAGAGGACCTATCTGTGACCACCTCAGGTACCTGCACTTCCACACCGTTACTATTGCTACTGTCCTCTTCACACTCGATCCTCAGGTCCGTTTCTCTCCCAGCCTTGACCAACACGTCCAGGAATGCCTCCACGTCCTCCTTGGTGCCGTCCAGCACGAGACTGTCCACACTGCGACTGCGCCGATGGGCCATGATGGGGGAAGGGGTCTGTCCAGCCCGCTTCCTGCTGCTGCGTCTCCTCACAACCACAGGTCCCTCATCCTGTACACAACAAACGGGAGTCAAATTCTTCACTGTACACTACTGTGAAGGGATAGCACAGCACTATGACTGTATATGACATTGTCAAGTATTTTCTAGGTAGGGTCTCCTGCTCTGTAGAAGGCTTTGTGACACTACACTGAGCTATCACAAGTTAGCCCATCTGTAAGGAATATAATCTGTGGCATACAAAACAAGAACAGTGATCAAAGACTACTTACGGTTTCTTGGATGGTGGGTGGCTGTTCTCCATCAGAGAAAGTCTGGAGAGGAAGCAGCTTCTGATCTGTGGCCTTACGAGGTGTCAGCTCACTCTCACTCTGGGTCCCCTCAGCACTGGAATCTGCACCTCGCATGGACTTGTCTCTCTTCTGAAGGAAAAGATGAAAGTTTGTCACTTTTTAAATAAACCAGAGGATAAAAAATAACTTGATTTTGTTCAGAAAAATTCTTTAAACCTAAATGTTCTTTGGGAAAATGATAAGATATGAGATGCATTTGTGCCTATTGTAGAAGGAAAGATGAAAATAATTTTGATGTCAAGTTACAAAAACAGAACGGAATGGGAAACCTAGGAGGTGAATAATAAAAAACTTGATATTTTATATACATCAAGACTCACCAAATAATACGTCTGTGGATACTTCAATGAGTGCAATAGAAAATACAAAAAAAATGGAACGTGGTATTCAATGGTGAAGTGCGTCATTCATTACAAAACAAAATAAAACCTGGAAATAGTTTCTGGTGATTAGATGTTTAGTGACATGAAGTTATGAAATGTTACTGAAAACCTGGCAGTGTTACTTACAAATCTAGGGCTTGTGAGATCAGGCTGGGGAGAAAAGAAATCAAACATGACATTAGTGTGGGTTGGACTGACATGCACTGGAGACCTACACATGCATCTAAGGTCACATCACTTCAATTACATGGAGATTTTCAGGTCAGATTTTCCTCAGATAAGAGGGTCCAGTAGGTGAATAACGTTTGTCGAACAGTATACACTGTAAGACAATTTGAAAAGTTTTAATCAAATAAAAACTTATGACATCAAAAGGACGTGACAAAGTGTAAATATGTCTCCTCGTACATACAATCATTCGAAAGTCAATCTGAATTCTTTTGCAAGAGTAACTAAACTGTTTTATGTGAATGACAACCCGTATTATATAATCCAACACATGACTCAATCTAGGACATGCTTTACAGTTGAGAGCAAACATGTCTCTGTCATACTCTGTAAGTATTTTCAACCACTACAGTACAACATGCTCAATATTAGTTTCCACATTGTTCATACTTATATGGAAAGACTGTCAGTATTGATGCTAGTTTGATACACTTTCTTCAGTTTTTACTCTATTGTAAAGAGACAAATGCTGGGATAAACTCTACAACTCTCACCTTTTTCATGCCTGCTCAGCATACCGATGCAACAAAGGAAGCAAAAAACAAAACAAAAGAAACACTATGAGCTTTATGGCAATAGCACCAACAGCAATCAACACAAGATGCACGACAGCAATAACAGCAAAACAGATTTGCCACCAAAAAGGCACTGAACTGGACAAGACAAATCCACTGCACACAAAACAATACAGTCAACAGTTTACAAGTACTAATGGTTTGTGATTTAATGCCATGAAACAATTATGAGCAATGGCATATTTTAAGTATCAAATTGCTTTTGCAAGCAATTCATGGCTTCATGACAAATAACACAATTCCCATGTCAGCAAATATATACAAATGGCATGGCAACATACTAAAACACCACAACCTTCACCCCAAATATGTTTGCATCACACATCAGTAGAAAACTCACCTAACAGGAAGTTCCCTACAGTTCAAGAGAGGCATGCAAGAGAACATGCAACATCATTAGGAACATGGCACATGCAGGACGGACATGTTGGGACAGACCAGGATCAAGGAGGTGTGTGGGAAAAAGTTGCTGCCTATTATTCAGGTAGATACAGGTATATACAATCCTGTGGTTACAGACACAAACTTAATGGAATGAAAGATTTTGGACTATCCTGTTAAAAATTTAAAACTTTTCTATCATCAGACAAAGTCCTCTTGCAGTCCAATACTTTTCAGGTAAGATATTTGTGCAGATTACATTTCTATATTCATGTGGAGACAAAATTCATCTTTTTGAGTTGTCCTATTGGTGCATATTTTTCTGCACACACAGACTCCTCCAACAATTCTCCGTGGTCTTTCCCTGAACAAGGAACAATATACAGACTGAACAAGGCAATGTACAGAACAGACAGCAATGGAATGGCATAAAAATGTATGGACAAGCCAGTTAGAACAGAAATCACACAATGAATACCACAAGAATCACAGAATGTTTGCATCAGATTAGGAGCACACACAGCCCTTCCAGTCAGTAGTTACATGACAGACTAGAGCTCTTTGGAAGTCACTGAAAATCCAGCCAAAACCACCTGTTTCCTGCCTGGGTATCTTTCATGGGGACGGTTAGGAACAGCAAAAGCTTTTACAAAGTTAATGACACACTGACTTGGCTGTTGACACAAATAAGTTGAAGAAACCTGTACCTTTGAGCTGAATTCCTCTTTGAAGCTTTGCCATTGGAGTCAAGACTGTATCTGTAGAAATAAAGACATGACAATCTATTTAGCAATCTCAGAGAACACCAACGAGTTGATTTGAGGACATTGTTAAAAATGTGGAAACACTACAATTTTACATTAATGCCAAGGATCTTATGAAGATGTGAAAACCAACCTGTCTTTGCCCGTGTAAGCCTCCTGGAGTCAGCCCTGCCCACCCGATGTCTCATGTTTCCCATTCCTTCATCCCTCCTCCTCTCTTCTTCTTCCTCATGCTGTTTGTTAGAATCTCGTCTCTCTGTTCTTCCCTTCTCCCCTCGCTCCTCGTGTGCAGGATGATCTGTGAAGGAACCACAAACCTTCATCTTAAAGAAAGGTATGAGCTCATTAAAGAACCACAAACTTTCATCAAGTTAAACTAAAAGATTTTAACTCCCAAGGAACCTCTCAACTTTAAACAAGTCAGTTTTAGCAACTGTATCACTGATCTACCCGCATTGCAAGGCTCCAGTCAAAGTTCTTCCTCCCAGTGTAGAATCCTGCAAAATGTACATGTTCTCATCCACGGTAAAATGTTCCTGAAGTTACACATGGCTACAACTTAACAGATACTTACATGGACGTTCATTCCCCAATTCCATAATGGCTTTCCTTGCCTAAGAGAGAGTAAGAGACATTGTACTAGTCAGCATTTTTATAATCAAAACATAGCATGAAGTATAGATGTCACTGAAAAATGGAATTCACATGCTACTACCTAGCTGTGTCTTAAGGGAGGACTGGCTAACTTACACTGGTTGGAATGACAGCATTCAGGTTTTCTAGGATTAGGGTCTTCAACTGTTTGGTCCATAGTCTTTTCTGTTCCAGGGTCTTGGCCTACAAGAAACGGGAAAAGAACAAGGTTATCTAAGCAAAAATACAATAATGACATTGACACAAGTAATAATGGGTATGTTTCTCATTAGTTTTATTGCTGACCATGCATCTCTTTGTGCTGTTTTGCCAGCACATACTGGTACAAATTGGTGCAAATAGAGTAAATGTATACTCATTATTATTTAAGCTGCAATTTTTAAAATGATCAACAGGAGGCACTGTACTTCATTGTTTCCAGCTTGCAAGAATGTCAAAATTCCTAAATCTGAACCTGAACAAAGAGATTTTCAAACCTGGTACAAATTGGTGCAAATAGAGTAAATGCATACTCATTATTATTTAAGCTGCAGTTTTTAAAATGATCAACAGGAGGCACTGTACTTCATTGTTTCCAGCTTGCAAGAATGTCAAAATTCCTAAATCTGAACCTGAACAAAGAGATTTTCAAACCTTTTACAGCTTTCTTTCCAAAACTGTTAAGACCTGTTTTGAGTGGTACTGACCTGAAATGTGTACTGCACCTTTGGGTTGTCAAACGGTATGACATGGAAACTGTTGGGCTGGTTAGAGATGCTCTCTACTATCATCAGGTTGGAACACTGGAATCAAACAAACACAATGGATTTGAATGGATTTCAATATGGTATGCATTCTCAAAAGGTATTCATGACATGGGTTTATAGGAAATTTTCAACACCCATCTGATGTTCCTTACCAGGATATGAGTCTTGCACTGCAGACCGCTGGGTAACTTCTTGGTAACTAGTAGCATCTTCTCAAACAGGTACAGATGACGCTCATTCCGGGCCCGAGACATACGAAAAGATCCCTGGAAGTGCAAGAAGAAAGTTGGGAATTCAAGTTCTTCCCTATTCAAAAACTGTGTGAGAACTGTTGGGTAAAAATTATGCTTCGATATGCATGTACATGTTGTTGGCATGTTATTGAAAACTAGCATCCCTGATCTAACTTCCTAATCTAAACATCCCTTGTTCTGCTCTCAAAAGGACCTTCATCCGTGATTTAATGACTGGATACACACTCCAAAATCAAAGTTTGCCTTTCGACCGTACTTCCTTTGATTAAGCCCATGATGTTGGATACTTTGAAAGTTAACATGCCGGAAGTTAGGACAAGGAAATTAAGGCACTGATTTAATTTGCATTTCAAGTGGGATTACATGTACAGTCTGTAATTCAAGTCATGTAGTATGATGTCATCACAGCATAACTATGGCAATAATTTTTTGCATAGTATGAAACTGGTATAACTCTTGGGAAAATGGATCACTCTATTTCACACCAATTTCTCTTGTCTTCCAAAGGACAAAGCTGGATCACCAACCCAGAACAGGTGTGTCCAATTTGAGTCCACCCATGGTTAAATCAACATGACATCATGCTAATCAACGTACAAGCTGCAGGGACAAGGACAAGCCATAGCCCACTGGAACTCATTAACCCACAGCAAGCCCATTTGCCTCACCTGTGGACAATTGTCACCTCATTACACAGTGGATTTGCTTCACCTTTGATCTATTGGTAACTTTCATCAGTGATGACGTTCATGTCACCACTCACAAATAATTACTTTGTACTTTGAATTAAGTTTGATGACGACGCTACAGGAAAAGGTGTCATCTTGACGCAATGCCCCTCTTTAGGACTTTTGTCAACCACAGTCTAGATTTTATGTTCATATCCTTGATTCATACTAGCAGTATAACGCCTTGTCTGATGTCACATGAGAGCCTTTTCAAACGATTTTGGGCTGTCCCAATATTGTCATTCATGAAATCGAGTTTGTGTGTGGTCTAATGTCTAACTAGGAGAGGTCATTTTGTGATATATCTTACAGACTCCACAGGAGAAGACATGAGGGATCATTCTTACCTCCAGAAGTAGCTCCCCATATGTTGTCAGGTCGTGACCCTGAAATCAAACAAATTGCAAGAAGGTCAGACGGTTGGCCTCCCCCCAAGGTCATGGCACTTGACATAGATCAGACCTAAGGGAAAACATGTCACCCACACGGTACAAACAACTGGACATAACAGTCACCAGCTTCTTTCTTCTCATTTACATTGCATAGCATAGAAGTTTAGCATAGAAAAACAGTGTAACAACATCAGTTATCAGAACAAAATGGTTATATCCTCAAATGCTCATCGTGATGTTTTGCTTTTGTATAACTTTCCTATTAATATGGATGAGAATCTTTTTTTAAAGCTCAATATGATTTTCTCTTGACACATTTTTCCTTGGAGCCATTGCTCTTGAAGCTGTCCAAACACATCCATTTGAACTGGCAAACCTAAACATCCAACTTCCGACAGAACGGGACACACAGACGAGTATTCAGTGGTTTTAGAAAGGAGGTCTAAGACTTTGGTCCTGGCATGTGTGCACACACAGCAGTGAGAGGCTTACTGGTCTCACCTAAAACTCTTAGGTCCAACCTTTAGATAGAGAATGTCTTTGTTTTCCTGTAATCTTCCTTTAAACATCTCTGTGGTACATAGTCTCCTGGGCAGGATCAAACTTAGGACTGGTCTACCTTAAAAGTTAGAGGGTTTCAGGGGAAACCTTTAACCGTTGACAGGTTATGGATAAAGACCAAATTCAATATGTGTGCAAGGGAAATCACAGTTGGGGGGGGGGCAATAAAACTTATTGCTAATTGCCTCAGAAAACCACACTTGCAGGGAGTTTAGCTCGCCACCGACGGGATCTGCGGACACTGAAACAGGGAGGAGCATTCCTTTTCGTCGGTGGCGAGCTTAACTCCTATGGCTAATGGATACTGTCTTTTGCCACCGATAGGGATCTGCTTGGAGATTATTGCAGGGGACCAGTGATGAGGTAGTGTCATTCTTATCCTTCTAAATCCAGACAGTAGACATGTGGTGTTAGGTTACTACATTGCTTTTTAGATTCTTGGGGCATCCTGCAAAAGCATTAAATATTTTTAATCTTACTTCTTATTTGTGATCAAATGGTCAAAACCTTATTTTCTCTTCCCTGCAGAAACTTCCACTAGTCAGTATAGCTTTCATACAAATCTTGTATGAATGGTTGTACTGCCTGGTTTAAGATGTGCTGCACCAATATTACAGTAGTGGATGTCTGCCTGCACAGGCCCATGGACTACAGAATCTTACAAAGCAAAGACGTCTTTGTTTTCTATGACTGACAGCTACCAGAGCCCCTGATCCTGCACTGATGATGTCATTACAGGAAGACAAACATGTTGTCTGGGGAGACAGGACTGCAGGCAGGTGTGCAGGGCTGCTGAGAGAAGGCTGCACACACTGGTCTATTGTTCACAACCAGGAGGTTACATGTTCCATTTTCATGCCATTACTGTGGTGTTGTACCTAACAAAATTCAATGCTGCTTCTTTCCAAACATCAATATTTACTTGCCTTGAGTTTTTAACATATGGTTTTGTTGGTAACCAACTGAACTTTACTGATGGCGACATCTGTCCTACTGGGGTTCTGTCTATTCCACTATGCAATTTTCACAGTATATACTCAGTAAAATCACTAATTGTTATTGCTAAGTAAGGTTATTGCTATCTGAGAACTGAGGTTCCCAAGCACAATACTGTAGCCACTGATTATTAGCCAGGCTGGCAAATTTGTACAGCTCTCTACAGAAGTCAATGAACCCCCTTTATTTGCAGTTTAATCCATTTATCAGAGACCCATTATGTAACCCACAGCTGAAAAAACATCCTAAAAACCCTCTTCAACTTGATCGTAATCTCATTTTGAAAAGCATTCTCAGTATTGTGAAGGGCCTTTGTCATCAGCAGGTGCATTCTCATATTTCTTTCAAGAACCTTTTATTATAAAAGTCTATTTATATAATAAATTATATTAGGAAATACCAAGCTCTAAATCGCAACAAAAGGTGAAATCTTCTGGATTCAGTTACGCATTACTTTTGGAAGTGTTTCACACAGCAATATAAATCCTTATTGTGATTGGTTGCTAAAATTAGCCAACAACACAAGTTCCCAATATTTAATATGTGCTGATAACGGGAAACCTTGGTCAGTACAGCCCTTGAGCTGGCGATGTGGTTTTCCTCCTGCTGTTCTCCTGCTTCAACCTACAAGGTCTTCCCTACAACTTTCCTTTCCTCACCACTCTTCAGCATTCCTGCTCTTCTCAAGTGGACATTCCTTTACCCCACTGGGCTCTTGTTGGCAAAGTCCAAGGCCTTCAAGCTAAAATAAGCAGGGGGATGCCCTCAACCCACATACTCCTAAAATATCCCAATTCCCACACCTCTCCTGCGAATTCCAGACAGTCAGCTTCCCCTTCTGTCCAGTGTGGTTTTCCTGTAGAAAGTCTACCCCTCGAGATAACAGTCATTAGGACTTCCCTTTGATCGTGGCTTGTCTGTCGTCCCTAATTCAATTAGCGAGGCATCTAAATGACCACTTATGTCCGAGAGAAATCCAAGAGGGGTTCTACTTACATCCCATCCGGACAGCTGACTTTGGATTTCCTGTAGAAAAGGGAAATAAGGGAGAGTTTTAGAGCAGTTGAAGGGGAGACAAAGCAGTGCAGGAGTACGGAAATGCCGCATTCCTTGGCTGACTGGCAGCTCCCTGTCCTCCAGGGGGGTTGGGAACCCCTACAGTAGGGCAGGAGGTGCAGCGGTCTGTCAGGAAGGCTCCTGAGAGGGAGCTCGGGCATGATATGGGGATTTGGAAACACAACATGACCTACAAGTGTAGACATGCCGCCTACCAAAGATGGCAAAACACTGCTGACTTCTACTTTTGAAGTTATTTTAGTGCAGGATGTTGGAAGACACACATTGTTTCCTGAATGTACAGGAAATACCACTTCTTTTTGAATGAGTATGTGTACTCCATTCTCTTTCATCGTAGCACACCAGATTTTATCATCAGAGACTTGTGCCTTTCCAAATGAAGGTAACAGTAGTTTAGCATTACAAGTTTGACACAGTGGACGGATGCATATATGATACATGAAAGAATGTGATATTCTCATTCAGTCACAGTAACAGGTGCATACTTCAAATGCCACATATGCTGTAGACATTCCTGTGATGTGCTGTACATACTTTTGAAATTACAAAACCGGTTAGGAATAATACTATATTCTGCTCTAAATACCAGGATTGATATCTGATTACAGCAAATATCTGACTACAAAAAATATTTTGCAGGATTTTATTTAATTAAACAAGCAACCGAGCAGATCATCCCACATGAAATCAAGTTGTCTGCCCATCTGTAACTCAGTATAACACGAACACGTCGCTTACCTGGACATACAGCATGTCTTCATGTTTCTTCTTCATCTCGTTGATGTGGTGTGCCACCTGGGTCATGGTGTCCAGGGCCTCCTTAATGGTGCTGTGGCCCCCATCCTCACCTTCATAGTTGTTAGCAATGTCCTAGAAGAAATACAAGAATGAGAAAAATATGGCACAAAGTGGGAAATAATATTGGAACAGGATCTGTGAATACCTATATCTATATCTAGAGGTGGGTATTGTTTTCATGCTTCTTCACCTGCATTATGTTACACATATCATTTATCTAATAATGTGTTCCTTTGGAGTATGCTACCATTTTGGTTCTGCTGACTTGTAAAAGTACAAAGTAAGTCTGCGTCTTCACAGATTTTCAGGAGCTTAACTTGCTGCCATTACATTTTGTGATAGATTCCAAAGTAACAGGGAAAAAGTCAACTTAATGTAGATTCACTTTATCATGTACATGGTACAAGTGTTCAGTCACAAACATACACATAACACTAAAAAACCCCTCCCAATCACAACAGTTACCTGCAGCAGTAGATGGTATTTCAGAACTCTCTGTACAGGCTTCAGCAGGTATGCACCCAGAGGGAGGTTGTGTTTCAGAACGGCTTGTCTCTCCTACAACACAAATAAACATCAAACGTTAAGTTAACATGAGCAACTTCAAACTTGAAGCCCTTGAAATTTGGAAATGACTTTTCAGATAGAATATGACTGGTGTTGTCTATATTATAAGACATGTAGAGGAAGTTAGACATGTACCTTGAAGAAGTCATTCATGACTCTATTTTGTGTGCACTCCGTCAAAACAGCAACAGCACTGAAATAGACAAATATAACATATTGTAATGTTACAATATCACAAAAATATAAATCGCACAGGTACCGATAGGTGCCAAAACACACTGACTAAATTCAAAGGTAACACATTTTTTACATTCTCAGAGAAATTGCTATAGAATTGAATAACTTACCTGGGATAGTTGGTGCAATATTGTGTGTAGATATGGAATTCTTTTGCCTGTAGGAAATATTGGAAGAAATCAGTATACAGACTTACATTTTCCCTTTCAATACATTTCATCCCAAGAAATTTTTAAAATACAAAGTGCACTGTAGATGGATATCTGAAAATTAACATCTAAGAAAAACCACACACAGAGTCAAATATTTACAAACAACTCTCCTTTTGTCTTGTACAACACAAAGACTACCACACACCTTTTCGACAAAACATTCAGCGACCTTGACTGCCCTCAGCCTGCAGTTTTCCAGGTTCTTCAGGAGTCCACTGTAACAACAAAGTGACCAGACTATCAGTCCTGTTAGCTTAGCTGTGTTAACAGACTCCTACTAACAAGAGCTCTTGGCCTTGCTTTGACCTAACAGCATGACAAAAGAAATGCACTGATGTATATGATGAATTGTAATGTTCACATACCACAGAAGTCGTATAGTAATGTTTGAATACCATGGAAGGTCTCTATTGTTAAATTTACATGTAAACCTTGGCTACTTCATCCGCCTTGCACAATCTATACCGTACTTCCAGTGCATTAACAAAAACTAATTTCAATCATAGTTCATACATGTTCAAAATTCATTTCTCAACAAGCTTAATCATTTACAGCTCACCAATCCTGAAAGGCAATGTGACCTTTCAAACTCGGACAAAAACCTTTTTCTGCTCCTTTCCTTTCATTTGTAAAATTATGCGAAAAATGCTTTATGAAAATATTTGTTAGAAGTGTGAATCCATGTGGAATTCTTTCATTGAATAAGCTCATGCAACATTATTTCTTCATACTATCTTGTCAGTAAAAAAACGTCTAGTGAAAGATGAAAGCATCAACCTTTGCGATGAGTCACTCGACTACTGTTGTAATTAAGGGCAACTTCCTTCCTAGCCAAGCTAGCTGACCTCGATAACCACCTGCTGGAGGATACCAACTGCAGGTAAGTCCCAGGGGACTTATTACAACAGATTGTTTGCACCATTGTTCTTGTCAGTGAAAGTACAAAGAAACATTGGCAGATGCACAAGCTGATAAGCTAGAGGGTAAATTCCTCACTTCTGACCCAGACAATGTGTTAAAGGACCACTGCTGTTTGTTTGAAGTACATATAGTGCTGACGGAGATTTTTAAAATCCATTTATGCGAATAAAGTATCCTGATACATTTCAACATGTTTTAGACTTGAAATAATTTTGACTTCTGTTAATTTAGAGTTACTTTTGTCTTCTCTCCCTTCTTCAGCACTTGCTATGTAATACGCCGTATGGAAGCGAATTACCTCTGATATGAATAGAGCGGTTGGATGAACAAATAGATAAGTATGTCTCTGTGAAAGTTAACAATGGGCAGAGGGCCCATAATGAAGCACTGTGGTGTGTTCAAGCCTATCATTTTCTACATGTACTACTGGTCCCCAGGGAACACTCAGATCATGAGGTTGCAGAATCTGTCATCTCAAGGGAATAACTGTTATCACTCAGGATTGTTTCCTGGCTCATCTTCTGTAATCTGTAGATACTGTGTCGGACAGGGCCTTTAATTTTGTGTAATCTATTGATGGAGAGATACAGACAATTTACATATTCTGTGTAACAAATAGACCAGTATTTATACCTTTGCTATTTAGAGCATGATTGTATGCATATTTCACACAAGTAGATGATACACATGCTGCTAGGGTTTCACCTGATTGCTTTAGAAATCAAAGCCAGGAACCAATGTTTTTGTAACATTCAATATAAACTCAGAGATACACCCCCTTTTCAAAGCTATTCTAATTTCCAATATTTCACTGAACCCTCTGATACAAAATGTCCTTTCATTACTGCAAGGCCCAACTTTGATTGGAAAATGATTTTGATTTGTTGATTTTTTGTCTGGTGCAACAACAGAATTTTTGTTGATACGTTGACCCTTGTTTGACCTGATAGTATATGTACATGGTTACACCCGAGTGCTAGTCTCACCACAGCCAGACCTGGTGCAATACAGGTACAGGTAATGTCAGCAGGCTTGGCAGGGGGTGACCTAGATTTATTCCCCATCTTTATTCTGTGTGGTACAGGAGAGCAGGCTTTGTGTTGTTGACTTGAGGATACATAGAGACAGGTATCACAGGCACTGTGGACTACTTTCTTTACCTTCTTGGTGTTGACAAGCTCTGTTTGGTCTATCTTTAACATGTGCCACTATTGTTTTCCTGCTGCTGCTGATGTAACGTGGCCCGATCCTGTTCAAACTGGACGTGGAAGGGGTCACACCTACACCATGCCAATTTGGTGGTCAGCCACTATCGGTCAAGCGACCCCTTATCACGTACCTGCAGCATTCCCTCGCTCCTCAATAAAACAAACATTCCGATTTGATGGATCAATATTGGGCGGTTTACAGATGCTGGCCACATCAAAGGGCCAGACGGGCGTCAAATAAAAACACACCTGTTCCTCCTCCAAACTAGCAACTAATCCTTTTATTTTACCCAGGAGACATCCAAAGGGACCGAAATTCTATATAGAGGGAGAGGAGACAAGGCACAAGTCTGGTGCCCTTATTGTTTGTTGTTATTGTTTCAGAATTTTTCTGTTCAATTAACTTCTGTTGGAATTCATGAGTTTCCAACCAACTAAAAACACTGGTCTGACAGGTGGCATAGCTCCTAACCCACCAGGTAACTGGCATGGCAGCCCTGCCCAATATCTCTATACCATGATTACCATACCAACCTGTTGAAGTCGTAAATTTGTTCCATGTTCCCAAATAAGGAGGAGACATCCTCAGCTGTGATGGGCAGCTCTGGCCTGTCCACGATACAACCCATGTAACCCTGGAAACAAAAGGCCACAGCAATTCATTAAACTTTTCTCAGATAAGAAATAACATGAAAATTGTACTCATGGGAATTGTACTTAGTTCCAGAGAGTGAATGTAGTCAGGTTTTAAATTCCTGTTTATGTCTTGTTCTCCTGACTTGTCTTTATTCTAATGTGTCTCAGAACCAAGGAAATAAAATGGCATGACCTAATTAGGTACATGTATGACATGCCCAAAGAAAAATGCATGACATTTGTTGTGACTTCCACATGTTAAATGTCACAGGTACCCACTCTGCACACCCATGATGTAATCAGTAGTGAGGTAACCTAAACTAATCCCTGTGGTTAGTCCTGATAAGGTGTGTTCAGCAGGGGTGATGACAGGTTTGCAGATATGAAAGGGAATGTGCAGTGCTGATGGGAAATGGTGCACTTGTAGGACCTGCGCATCATTCCAACACGTATCACCAAACACACCTTTTCCTACCACAAAATCCGCTTCCTGTTTCCTTTGGCCTCCAAGAAACAACACGTCACAAAATTTTGACCATGATATTTACCATTCAAGAAACCGAAATATTTACAAAGTTACATGCAGAAAGTTCTTTCAAGCAAAATGTTGTGAGCATAATATTTACTACACAGGCAAATTCTAGGAAAAGAAACATCCACATTTACACACGCAGGAAGTCCCTAGAAACATCATTATCCTTACATTAATAACCATTTCTACAGCAGATTCTTTGTACTCACCTCGATTATGTCTTGCAAGTCCTTGACGTATGCCCGTTCAGTCTCCATAATCTCCAACACCACTCTATCTGTGTGGCTGATTCGGTTGTTCAGTTTCCCAGTCGGCATACTGACTCTCAGAAGTTTGTCTTTAATAGGTTTCTCCTCAGGGGAAGAGTTTGTTGAAGATGGTAAGGACATCTGTATAATGGCAGGTGCAGAACGTTTCCGTAATACTTTCTCAGGAGTTCTGTCAATTGTTTCCTTTGCCGCCTCATCACAGGACGATTCGTTAAGGTTGATTGGTGCAAGAATAAGCCTTCCAGAGGATCCGAGGGAAGAGGAGGATGTAGAAGAGGTAGAGCTGATGCTGGTTGGTCGGTCACTGTCAGGTGACCTGTGGCCTCCGTCCTGATTGGTCATCCTAGCAGTGGGGTCCAGCTCCCTGCTGTACATAGGCACGTGCATCACTTCCATCTCCAGCTCTGCAGGAGGAGAAACAAGCTCAGTTTATTCTGATTCACAATCAGTTCTTCTTCCCTAACTCTAAGTCTGGCAATTGACAAACATGGATATAGAAATGATTAATAAAAAACAGTGATGAAAAACTGTATCATTGACATTAACATTTTTTATCAATTCTTTATCAGGATTGTTGCCCACAGTACGTCTTTTGCTTTACCTTACCTATTCCCTGAAGTTTTCTCACGAATTGAACCGGATAGGGCAGTTTTTTTTACAGTCTTCATGCATTCATTATAAGCTAAATGGCTAGCAAAATGCCTTCTACCATAGGTAAACAAATTGTGTTGTTTGATATGTTAATGTACCAAGGGACAAGACAAACAAATGGGTGTTCAATTGCTGCACAATAAAGTAATTGAGGATAAGTTAAGTACAAAGATAGTCACTGTACAACCTCGTCAACTGTAGATTTACGACTCTATAAAGCTAGTCTCAGACAGGCTTTCTGCATACTTTTGTTGTTCTGTCTGTACCTGAACCAAGTAAGATTTTATAAAGCAGCATGTTTGCATGATAACGTTCTGGTAACAGGTGGAAGGAGCACATGTCCACTCGCCATGTTGAAAAAATTCTACCATAATAAAGAAAAGTACTGGGGACAGTCTACTATGTACAGGTGTACAACAGTGTTTCACTTTAGTTTATAATCTTCTTGGCAAAACTGTACTGGTAGACTGCAAACATTACACATTGTGGCAAACTATAAACTTGTGATATGTAGAAACAGACTGTTGATAATCTGGATTGATATGGGAGCAGTATGCCAACCCATAACAAAAAAATTGTCACACAAACTACAAAATAAAGGACAACGCAATCACCATAATTGCAAACAGTGCAGCGCAAATAAGTAACAGTTTCAAACCAAAAGCTACACCTTTCCAAAACAGTTGACTGTTGGTTCTTTAGCATCACCTGCTGCACTTGTTTAGCTGTACTTTACCTATCCTATCACTCCAACCTTGTCCCAACCCAGACTCATAGTCAAGGTTTGGTATCACCAGGCTCCCAGACGACTTTGCAAATATATTGGAATACTTAGTGAAGGGAGCCCCTCCCACAAACACGACAGACGTGTTTGGGTAGACTTTACCCTCCAGCTAATACCACAGGAAAAGGGCTGTCAAGCCCGCCAAGCTTTCCGAAATAAATTACCTCTTAACCTACGCCTTGTACAACAAACATGTCACAATACGACCATCGAGCAAGGCTACGCTACGGGAAAACACAGGACTTGACACTGTTTGGGAAGGGAAGTCATACCTGACGCTCCATCTGCTCAGTGATAAGTAAACAATATCTCATTATTGACCCCAGAAGTGTGACAAACCATGCTGTTCAACAGGTTGCAATTATGCAAAACAGCAAATAGTGTCCAAACGAGCATGAATCAGACGACAACAGAAGGGCACCGATGACATCTCCTCTGATGTTTGTTGGCCATGGGCAGGGCATAGGACATTAAAGTGTGGAGAACAGAAAGATGCGTTACACAGTACATCTAAAGATAAGCACAGATGAAACATGCTTTATTTGCTTCCCTTCAAGATTTACACCAAGGCCATTCAGAGTTTGCTTTAGCTATAACCAAATAAAGTTCACTGACCTGTTTGACAAGACGTACTGAGAAAGCAAGAGGAGAAAGTCGAAGGACATAAACAATGACAGTATGTTTTTCAGGAAATAAAATTTACATACTACTCCAAAGGATCACCTGTTACATGTAATTACAGCTGTAAAACATGTTGTTTTTGTGCTACTAAAATGTAAATCATTGTATTTTGCTGGAAATTGTTGGTTAAGTTTACCTTTGGTAACATCACTTGAAAACTTAATGGATGTATTTATACATACCTCCCCAAATATGGTATAATAAAAAGACAAAATTTAAAAGTAATGGATAGGCAATGTAAATGTAAATATCTATGAAAGAATTCACTGTTTGGGGTTGTTTTTTGTTGGAAAATCATGATTTTAACATGAGGAATATATCATATGGACTTCTAAGCCTTCACCAATCCATGACAACCCAAATTTTCACACTCATTTCTACAATCATCCTAATAAGGTATATGACCAGAAACCTCATTTTACATACATTATCTGCAAGCATCAGCATGCATCTGATTATAATCAAAACCACAGCTGGAATCTACCTTTCTTTAATGGAACAGTTGGAAAAACAGCAGAATAACACAGTCACCCTGAATTTATGTGACTCTGAAATAAGCATGCAGGAAAAACACCATCAGGCTCATAACTCTAGCCCTGCTCACCATACCACCTGATGGGTGATCTAGAACATCTGATACATGATGGAAGCCATACTATTACATGTACTTCTGAACTGCTCTCCAGGTTTCAACTCTGCCTTACCTGTCACAGCACTCTTTTAAATTCTATATATGACCTATATTAATAACTATAAAGAAGACAAAAATTTGTCAACAAGTTCCTAATAGGCCTAGTTGCTGTTTACATACCTGTTAGCCAACAAGATCCCAAATATAGACCAAGAATTGATTTTGGCATACCATCAGATCTTGCAAAACAACCTTTGGGTTACAGTATAGGCCTTATATAAACCTCACTATATTCTAGAAACCTGCTTCACTCTACAGTTAGACTCAGCAATGCCAAGGGTTCTGATATACATGTATTTTCTTTGTACCCGTCTATTACCACCAAGCAGCTGTTATGTTGACATGTTGTCTCACATAAAAAGAATGCCTGCCTTGACCAATCATCAACATCAACCTTCTCCCTGCTGTCTGAGCCCATAACCAACACAAAATTAATGCCAAAAGGCTACCTCAGCAGGTTGAAGGTTAAGACTAGTAACATCAGTAACTGGTGGGAAAGTGAGGGAGTGGTGAAAGACAAGGCTGCCATTACCTCTTAAGACATGGTATTATTTACGTCTTAAAGTATACATTGCCTTAAACTGACCTCCCAGCTGCAAGGCCAAACAAGTACGTGTTCAGGTCGACAGATAAGATAGCTGTAAAGATGCCAAAGAAGAAGAGTAGACAAACTGCAAACCTCAACCCACAGGTAGAATAGATACAACCTAACAACACCTGAAATCAATTTTGAAGCTCGATGTAATAGTACTACTAAATCCTTCTAGGAATTCAAAGTAGGATTTTCACTCATTTCTATGTCGTATGTGTAATTGCGTTGCTCATCCCTGCTTGAGACCAAAATGAACTGACAGGTCTGACCACAAGTGTGTGGGTGGGTCCAAGAAACAGATTGACAAATTAGGTAAGGGAACACCCAGTGGAATTGGGCTGGATTTGGCTCCTTGAAAATTGATTGGCAACATTGGATTAAGACCACAAACTTTCCACTCAAGTGATCCCTGGAGATTTGGGTGGATGAGAGGATGGGACAACTGCTTCTGTTTCCAATTACTTCATCAACCAATGACCTTGGGAAGACATGATGATTCAGATACAATTCAAACAATCATGATAGTCTATACAAGATCCACTTACAAGCCCTCCCAAATATGGCAGAGATTTTCAGAAAGCTTGAGAATGCATCTTTGAATTAAGTATTGACAGAGAATATGGCAATGAAGCCTCTGTCTGTATGTAACAAGAAAAAAGATCTGAGTAGTTTGGGGGTATGAATATTTTAATCTACCTGCAGCATCTCAGTTGCAAGACATAGAAAGTAAAACTGTTTCATCTCCTACTGTGACATTTAAGAAAAAGATTTATACAATCAGTGACCCTATCTGTCCACACTTGTGTAGGGGCAGGCATCTAGTCCATTTTAACTGGACTTTGTACACCTTTTCTACACTGCCAGGATGCAAACTAGCATAGCTGGTGGTGATGTTCTTGAACAAAGTTTGAAGAAGAACAGACTCGAAAACAACTCTGTTGTTGGCCATCATTTCCAACCTGTTTCTTGTAAAGGTTATCTCAACATCACATAACAAACTGTCCTGAGAAATGGGGTTGTTTTGGCACCATTCCTTCCATACCTACCCTGACCAGGAATTTGTTTTTCTTACCAACTGCTCATGACTGGTCTGCCAGTAGTAGAGTTACTACTTAGCCCAAAACAAGACTCCTAAGATACTTACCACCATGGCCTGACTGGGAGACCTCACAAATCTTCCCTTTTAACTTCAAGTCAGCAGCTCTTTTCTTAAACTTGAACAAAGGCACCATTGCAAAGGATGATCAAGGACATGGAAAGTGGCTTTTGAAGCAGACTAAAGCTAGCCTTGACTGATAAACCCTGGTCATGGGAATCTGCATGAACTTGTAGTGATGGATGGAGCGGTTGTCACCTGAGCTGTCCTCCAGTCTGAGGTGCACTGACCTGAACAAAGTGGGGCAACTCAACTCAACTACCGCCTTCAACAGGGGAACTACAACTTCAGGCAGGAGAGGATGGGCAAGTTGACTCTGTCCCCATACCTTGATTCTCACTTGTCATCCTATTGGTGGGATTGAAAATGATTACATTTATGTGATTTGCAGTTTGAAAGGAAGATGCTAGATGGATTCACCCATTTAACAAACAGATCATTGCTGTCAATAGTTATCACGTAACACTTCTTTGCAGAGAGAAAGGTTCTAAGCCTAATTTGTATTGACAGGTTCAAACAAGACAGTTGTCTAAAACACCACAGAAATACCTTCTCTTGATAGCTGCTCAAGTATTTTCCTGTCCTCTTCCAACCACCAATGTGTGAGGCACTCACAAACCCTGGGAACTACTAATACCCTGTCCTTTGAAATAGTTAAAGACACAACAAGCACGTCCTGAGACGTGAGTCTATATTTTCTCTAGCAACCAACAGCTGATATGTATTCTAGTTGACCTTTTGCAAGGTTGAGGGTAGTGAGGGCCGGTGAGGAGGCAGTGGTGGCACCCTCCCAAGTAACTAACATTACCCGCCTACGTCAAAGGAACTGTTTGTAGCAGGAATGTAATGAAGGCTAAGTGCTCTCAAGGACAAATGTAACCATGGAAACAATGTTGACGATTATCTTCCATGTTCTATAGTTATTGCAGAAGCAGTGTCCTTTTATATCATAAGTAACAACGTATGGGAATTTCTACACTGAATTGCAGGTAATATAGGCACTAAATAGCTTCTACAAAAACAGATTGGGTGTGCATTAGGGGCTGTATTTAGCAGACCATCAGAGGACAGTGGCACATTTTGACAAGCAAATTTTTAACTGTCATGAAATATTATAAACTTTTATGTTAACAGTTTTCAGTGCAACAGCTGAGATATATTTTTGAAGATATTTCCATGAAATCAGGAAATGAGGAAGAATTAAGAATATTACATGGTCTTTATAGAGTCAATTCCGCGTCACCGAGTGGGTTGTTATTGTCATTATTTAGAAATGTTTTGAATTCTTTGTAATTGTTTGTCTAAGAAATTTCATAATTTGGAAATATTTTGAACATCTTGTCAATATTCTAAATAATTCCCTGGTTTTCTATAACATTTGAAATATTCCTGATGTGGATTATGACATTTCCAATAGTTTCTAAATATTTCTAACAGCACTCTACCATTTTTTACCATTATTTCGAATTATTTCTAACATTTTGTAAATAGGTCAGTGGGATGGGAAGGAAGTAATTCACACATCCCTGTGAAGTACAGGGTAGACTGCCTGGGTGTCAGGCATTGATGCCTTACAACAAAAGAGCCACCAGTGTCCAGCAGTGAAATCTAAAAATATACAGAGGAAGACAGAAGAGTAGGATTAGCACCTACTTTTATGGGGCAATAACCCACATCTACCATTTGGTTATTTGTTTGAAATAGTTCTAAATATTTCGAATTGTGAAAGAAACACATGGGTAGTTCAAATTTATTCTAAAGAAAGAGATCTTTGTACAGTCACATTCAAAATGTTTCAGAAATATATAAATGAATTCAAATATATTCAAATTTTCATTTTCAAATTTTTGAAAAATTTAGAACTTTTGTTACTGGGGTATTCTTTTCTTCTAAATAATTCAAACGTATTAGAAACATGGAGAAAAAACCCACTCGGTGACGCGGAATGGACTCTACAATGAAATGTTCAATTAGTACACTATATTAATAATGATTATATTGTTTCTTGACCTGATGATAACTTGTGACTTCTGTAGCTACTAAGATTCATAAAATCACAGTTGTATGATACCAGTAGTATGTGAACTGGCCTCATGGGAAACACATCACCATCAAATTTAAAAAATCAGTCCTGGTCTATTTCTAGAAGACATAATCCAATATCTTGTGTCAGTGAGCGGCATCTAAATTTTTCCTTAGTTAGCTATTCCTGGCATCACCCTTAGGTTATCTTATCTGAGTTGAGCGAGGATAGAAATATTCAAATCAAAACGGTGTTTGTATGTCTTTAAAGGCCAATTTTACAAGATAAAGATGGCATGGATCACAAAGAATTTCATCTTGTAACAATATCTAACTACCATAAAAATATTCCAGTCTTTAGAACAAAATTACTAGTATCTGTACCTCCTTGGTCTGTCCTGACAACACCACATAATTCCATGTCCCTCATCTGAAGGCCAACTGTCCCATCAGTGGGGAAACTGTCGGCACAACTGGTCTCATGCATTTGGATCAAAGGCATTAGCACCCATGCACATGTGTGTGGCTTGGAATTCCTAGCATAATTTCCCAAAACATTGCATCCATGTTTCCAATAGTCTTCCTTTTGAGAGAACATGCGTGGATCTGATAGTGAAGTTATCCTTCAAGTTCAACTGCAGACACGTACAAAATGTACACGTGGTAACTAAAGTATGAGCAGCAGATCCTATCTTCATGTCTCTGCCAGATTTTGATGTCCTCCATGGATAGGAATGCTCAGTTTGATTTTGAAACGGTCATCATTCTAGATCCTAGCGGTGTCTTCAGAGAACCCATTTGACAGGCAGAACTGAGAATAACAGAGATTAATCATGCTGTCCTGAGTGGTGACAGAAGAAAATCCATCTGTAAAACTGCAGGGGAAGTTAGTATTACTATGACTGACAGGAGGAAAAACAACCTTTCAAAATATTGCTGAACTTTCAGCAACTCTTACTCATATAACAACTTGTGGAACAAGACAATGACCGCATGTATCTAGCTCAATCATCTGAAAACTAGTAGTAATACAGTTTTAGCTCTACGTTTATGTGCAACATTTTCTACAACATTTCCCCCATGCTGCGTTGATGGGTTCATGTATATGTGCAAAGTCATAGGGAGGTTAAGTGGGATATTTTTGTGGCTGGATGTTTGTGTCGCATAGTGGAGCTGCTCGGAATAGCACATCTCCACCTGGGAATCTTTAACAATGCCATTCCCAATAATGGACCTGCCAGTCCACCACTTGTAAACAATGCTCCAAAGTCAGATTACGCTGCAACACCAACAGCCCGAAGGCATCTAGGGCAGGAGAACATAATCGTAGGGCAAAAGGTGGCAGGAAAAATAAACTGCCATCTGGTTGGAATTTCAGAACTGAAAAATAGGGCATACCTTGAAGTTGCTGACTAAACAACTGGAACTCTTTCTCTGTCTGTCCTTTCAACTCCTGAGACACAAACACAGCCTACTGTGGGACTGGGGGACCAACATGGCGTTTTCCATATCCAACATTAGTTGTGCCCAGTGACATTGAGCTTGTGTTTCCTAGAGGTAATTGTCATCCCACAGTGAAGCGATTGTATAGGAAGTCAGGTTAAGTGGTTACGGTTCATGATACCCGGCAATGAAGTGATACCAGTTCCTTCCCAAGCAAAGGTAATTCTGCAGTACACGTAACTTACGTTACTCCTGTGATGAGTTTGCAGAAAATTGCCTTAGTGGCTAGAGTCCATTCCGCGTCACCGAGTGGGTTGTTATTGTCATTATTTAGAAATGTTTTGAATTCTTTGTAATTGTTTGTCTAAGAAATTTCATAATTTGGAAATATTTTGAACATCTTGTCAATATTCTAAATAATTCCCTGGTTTTCTAAAACGTTTGAAATATTCCTGATGTGGAATATGACATTTCCAATAGTTTCTAAATATTTCTAACAGCACTCTACCATTTTTTACCATTATTTCGAATTATTTCTAACATTTTGTAAATAGGTCAGTGGGATGGGAAGGAAGTAATTCACACATCCCTGTGAAGTACAGGGTAGACTGCCTGGGTGTCAGGCATTGATGCCTTACAACAAAAGAGCCACCAGTGTCCAGCAGTGAAATCTAAAAATATACAGAAGAATACAGAAGAGTAGGATTAGCACCTACTTTTATGGGGGCAATTACCCACATCTACCATTTTTCATTTGTTTGAAATAGTTCTAAATATTTCGAATAGTGAAAGAAACAAATGGGTAGTTCAAAGTTATTCTAAATAAAGAGACCTTTGTACAGTCACTTTCAAAATGTTTCAGAAATATATAAATTAATTCAAATATATTCAAATTTTCATTTTCAAATTTTTGAAAAATTTAGAACTTTTGTTACTAGGGTATTCTTTTCTTCTAAATAATTCAAACGTATTAGAAACATGGAGAAAAAACCCACTCGGTGACGCGGAATCGACTCTACTTGAGTTGTGGACTTGTGGTGCTCGGTTGAAGTTAACTTTCTATGTTCTGATGATATCAACCAAGTAAAACAAAGGTTTTCACCCCTTGCGTCCTGTCAACATCCTTTCCCAGAGGCCATTTTGACACTTTTAGTTAGAGCAATTACCACACAGAAAGCAGGGTTGTTTCCTGTGGATTAGGGAGGGGCAAGACACCTGTCCTGTGAATGAAAAGACATTAGACTGCCAACCATTGCTTTCTTGTATACTGATACCCAAAATATATTTTTTAAGAAAATATGGACACATTTTTCATCAGGTTTTTTTTTCCTTAACAAATGCTGCATACCTAAAATGCCAGGTCTATTGTTGAACAATATTTCATGTGAGAATAATTTCAAGTACACAAGAATACACCAAAATACAACAGAAAAACCCCTTCAGTACCTAGCTAAGTATGGAAGACATTCTTGAGCCCAAATTAACCACAACCCTTAACTGCCATAATCCAATTCCTCATGCCAGGGGCAAAGACACAAAAGCTCTGCGAACGTGACAATGCCGGTTGAAACGCTAGAGACCTGGAGCGTGGGTCTGACAGATGGATTAGAGCCTGTGCTGTTGACTCTAGTGGAAGCCATTGTACCCCCGTGTTGTGGCTACTCAAAGGGGCCGCAGCTCCTCCCGTTACCTGCCAGTCCTACTTCTAAGGTGATGGTATAAAGCTTAACAGGTAGAAAAGCTCACCCGGACTTGGAGAGAGAAATCCCTCCTGTTATATATAGATACCAAGGCCAGCAGCAATGTTCCTGACAAATACCTTCTGCATTGCAGCCAACCGCTTCAAGGAACCTTACCAAGGATATACCTGTACACACTCAATACTTGAATATGAAACAACCTCTAGGCAGATGAAAAAAAAGGAGGAAAATACACAGATTAGTTGGAAAGCCTCCATGAACAACAATGAACCAAGCCTGCACATGACACTGCTGTGTATGGTTGCACAGGCTGACCTTGTCATAATCCTGATTTCTTGTGTCAAAACAGTGAAATGTACACCACAGCAGGTGGCATGGCAGGAAGCGTATTACACGGTAAGACTTCCGCTGGGCCGTTGATGCTAGAAAGGCGATATTTGCAAGTAATATACGCAGCAAGTCCTCAAAACACTTCTTTGTGTTTACCTGCACTTGAACTGAGCTGGGTACCTTTACAAATCTTTGGTGCACTGCCTTTTGATACACTGTACACAAAACACATGCCATTACCCAACACTGATGAACATGTTTGTAAATGTCATCATGATCTTATGCACATCGGCTGGACTGCTTGGAATAACAAAATCCTAAACATTTATACATCATCACCTATACAGGACAGGTTCTATACATTTACAGATATATCCACACTGGGAATTTTGCCTGAGAAAGATAAGGCATACACCACAGGCATGGCATGTTGGGCCTAGAGACACAAGCATAAAGGTGGCCTGTAAGATAACAGCATGTCTGATCACGCCGCCATTTATCAGTAATAAACATACCTTGTAAAGCCATGATAATGAGTAGGCATACCGAATGGAGACCACACAAACACTTTTGCTTCATCAGCGGATCTAAGTATAGACATCAGTCAAAGATAAGTTTTGATAACTGAACCTAATCCCAAATGATATAGTGGTTTACCAACAGAGGTACATTGGAAAACATTACAATTTACATACCTGTGCGGGGCCTCTGAGAATCTGTGCATTACGGATACTCAGTAATTCACCTGAAATACTGTAATTACTACATATATGCTGATCACATACACCTGAGGTATTGGTGTGATAAGGAGACAAGAATGGAGACAGAAAAACATGCAGACTGCTGTCTCTAACAACATGGCCCAGGACATGTTTTGAGACAAGCAAACCCATGTAAATGTAGTTACAAATCAATTACAGATGGGGTGGAATGGCGGGGAATTGTTTCGCCGGTGGCATTCCCTGTTATAAATCACAATAAAACCTAACCTATGGCATTTTGAACTGAAATCCTTCACATATTTATAACAAATTACCCCTAACAAAAATGTCTCCAATATTTTTAAAAACAGGTTCAATTATATATAATTCTCGACTATAGGAGAACATCAATATACATGTATAGCATGCCACAAAGCACATACATGTGTAATTGGGTGATTACTAAGGTATGCACATTCAAGTAATAGACCTCTACAAAAAATTCAACACTTTCTTGAGAACACAGTACAGTGACTTCTAATACTGTATATGTGATCCAGCCAGGCAGAAGAGTAGGCAAGGTTATAGAATGGAATATAATGGCACTACTACATTCATAACATGGCATCATAATAGGTTGTAAAGGGAGTTTCAAAGGAAATTTTTAGTAACACTAACAAGGCTTTAAGTAACACCTGCATAAGCAATCTACTAGCAGGTGAAATTGGAGCTGAGCAGGTAATTCTGTGCTTGCAGCTAACCTGTACTGGTTCATGAGGCTAGAGTGACATACAGGCAGTTGTAGTAGGCTCATCCTGTATAAATTACTAGTAGAAATTGTGCTACTGGGTATTAGTAACATAGTTAAAACATTGTTTTTTATTGGCTAAAAGTAAAGAAATTAGTTGTGCAGGTGAAATTTGGCTGGTATAGATCATTTTTAATGTTCCCTCCGTCTGTTCAGGTATGGAAAAAGTCTTTTAAGCCCTAAGTAGCACATACAAGATCTGTTTCATGATTTGATGCATTCAAAAAAGTCTGGAAGGAAACCTGATGAGATGAGATGTGCATGTACAGTACAGGTGAGATAGAGAAGGCACACAGACATGTAATGGGTACTCCTAACTCAGCAGGTGGCACTACCCATCAAAAAGGGGCGGGACAAAGGTGACTGGGACACACAGGGGAACAACAGCACCCTGGCAGGTAACAGGCATCACGTGTAAAACAACACCAGTATTTAGGGCACAGGCATCACTCAGGGCTTGTATCACTCTATCTATATAGTATCAGATTGATTTCCCCTGCTGTTTGAACCAGTAAAGACAGGGAGCTGCAGAAATGACTGTGTTTTTCATACACACATGACAGGTATG